CTCAGAGATTCACTTCTGCTATTGTTTCTTAACAAATCTTTAACTCAGGGTCACAAAGACCTTTTCCTGTTGTTTTCTCCCAGATGTTTTGTATTTTAGGCTTTGATTTAGATCTGGGATCCATTTTGAGTTTATTTTTGTATATGGCACAAAGTATTATGGATCCACATATGGATCCACATATGGAAATCTACATATGAATTTCCCGTTGTTACAGCACAATTTTTGGAATGGTTATACTTTTTCCATTGAATTGGCTTTGTCAAAAATCACTTGTTCATATGCAGTGGGCTCCATTATTTCTGGACTCTTTTCTGTCAGTTAATTCCTTTGTTTTTGTGTGAGTACAATACTTGATTATTGTAGTTTTATAATAGTTTTTAAACTTTTCTTAATTATCATGATAACCTTAGTCCTCCAGTTTTATTCTTTTCCTTAGTAGTTTGACTATTCAGCTCCTTTGTATTTCCATAAAAACTTTAGAATTAGCTTGTCAATTTCTAAAAACTTGGTCCAGGGTATTTAGTTGAGGTTACACTGAGTGCGTAGATTTACATGGGGGAGAACTGACATTTGAACAATAATGAGTCTTCTGATCCATGAAACAAATATATGTATCACCATTTATTTAGGTCTTCTTTAACTTTTCTCAGGAATATTATAGTTTTCATGGTATGGGTTTTGCACAGTGTTTGATGAGATTTAATCCCTAAGTATTTAATATTTTGGTACTATTTATAATTGCATCATTTTAATTTCAATTTTTCATAGCTCCTAGCAATGTAGGAATAGAATTGATTTTGTAGATTTATCTAATATCCTTGCTAAAACTCAATTCTGGTAGTTTTTGAAAATTTTAATGGGCTCTTCCTGCTCATGTCTGTGCAAGCATCTTCTCCTTTCCTTTTTAAAAATAAATATCTCCTGAGGGCCTCCCTGGTGGCACAACAGGTTAAAAGCACAGCACTATGAAGCTGTCTGCAGCCACTGCAGCACAAGTTTGATCCCTGGCCAGGGAGCTGACCCACAAGGTGCAGTAGACCTTTTCTGTCTCACCCGCTGCCATCCTCAGCAGTGTATTTCAGTACATCTGCCTGTTCTGCTCCCCACTCTGTCTCTGGTGAATACTCTGGCCTGTACCCTTGTTCTTATATACATAAATAAATAAATCTTTAAAAAAAAAACACCTCTCCTTTTTGGATATAAAAAGTGAATAAAAATGTTGTATAGGCAAATCATACATCTGCAAATACAGTTTTGTATTTTCCTCTTCATCATTTATGGCCTTCTCCTCGCAAGTCATTGCTCTGAAATCTGCTTTGGCTGATTTAACCCCAAGGAACATCCCATGTCCCTTCTTTGCATATATGTTTATCTCTCATCTTGAGGCACTCTTCCCTCCTTTTTGTTTGACTAGCTTTTTATTTGTAGGATTCAGTTAGGTAGATCTCCATTCATCAGGGAATCATTCCTTGACCTGCCAAGCTATGCTAGATATTCCTCTTCTATGTACTTGTGGTAATGCCTCTGATAACATTATCAGATTGTGTTGTAAATACCTACATCTCTGAATCTCAGACTATTTTTGAGAGAAAAGGTCATGCCTCTCTAGTTTCTTGCTGGATCTTCTGTGTCTTTATGCATTGTCTGGTGCATAATAGAAATTAAGTAAATATTTGTTGGATGGATGGGTCTAAGAGTATCTCATTGGGTCCTTGCATTTTTTACTATGATTATATCGTAAGTATTTTCCTGTAATGCTTTATATATAACAAACCTCTTTTTAAACATCTGTTGTAAAAACTTTATAAAATTATTTAAAGTAGGAACATATTACTTGTTACATGGATAGCTCATAATTTATATAAACAATTATTTTATATCTGGATTATCTAGGCTTTCATTATTGTAACAGTGTCCCGAACAGCTGTTTCACTATTATAACAATGTCCCGAACAGACAGCTGTGTGTATCAAATTGTCTATGCTAATTTCCACAGTATGATTTTCAAAGCATATTACTAATTTTACAGATTGCTTTCCAAAAAGGTTGTACTGGTTAGAACTGTCATCAGTGCTCTGTATAGGTGACTGTCTTGCTGTGGTTTCCCCAGCAATGATTAGTCCCATTTTTAAATATCCTTATTCAGTTGTTTGGTTAAAAATTGTATCTTTCTGTTTGATTTGATCAAGATGAGGTTGAATATTTTTGGTTATTTGTAAACTATGTATAGTTATACTTCTGGGAAGAAAACTACCAACATTTGCCATCTATACATATATAAAACCAGTTCAGATACTTTTTTGTTTGTCTTACAATTTTGTTAAATATTTAAGCTTTTTGTTAATGGCAGATCCAATATCTGGTAGGTCAATTGCCTCAAAGTTTGAATTAGTAAAATCATTCACTTTGACCTTCCTTGTTAATATAAAAAAACTGCAAAGACTTTGTGAAACTGTGAACCCTTTACGAACCCTTTCATAGCCTTTCTCATTGTGACATCCAACACTAGAGTAGTTTTCCTCCCAAAATAATTATGACTCTTGAGACTCTATGGACTTTCTCATTTATCCAGGGGAAAAATAGTGTAACTTTCCATAGGACCTCCTCCTTGGTCCTCTTCATTATGGTATCAGTTTTTCTGGATTTGACCCAGATCTCTCAGATGTTCTCTGAAGTCTCTGATGGGCCTAACTCTCTCCTCTCCAGCCCATTTTAGTTAGACTATACCATTGTGAAGTCACCTGCCTTTTTGTTTGAATTCAGTGGATCCTCATCTGGCCTCCCTTTGGGAAGAATCTGGAAAGTTCTGTCAGCCTCTTCCCTTCCTCTTCTTATCTCACAGCTCAGGCACTGTGTATCAGTTTGGAAGTGGTTGTGAGGAACTGGGTCTGAACTGGTCAGGAGGGATTAGAGTCCTGGAGAACTGACAGTGATTTTTATGTGTTAACATTAAAAACTATATATTAGTAATAAATGCAGTGGAACAAAAAAGTCACTGTAGGGTGCTGAATTAACTATTTTAAAAGAGTATTTGAAGTGCATATTCTTTTCATTTCTTGGAAATAAGAAGTGGCAGTTAAATTTCTTGAGGACTTCAGGGCTTATATGGGAAACCATCTCAGGTACTCAGGAATCTGAAGTTGGGATTGGGTGCGTGGTTGAAGAACAGATATTGTAGGTAGAATTGTGTAATTCTCCAGCCAGGATGGTAAAACTAGTTTATCCTGTTAGAGCATTTTTTAACTCAGCTGCCCTTGAATTACTGATCTGGTAGAAGGACAAACAAATGAGGACATACAGGGTTCTTTTTTTAAAAAGATTTATTTATTTATGCATTATAGAACTGGGGTACAGGTCAGAGGTGCAGGGGTGGTGAGAGGATTCACCAGAGACAGAGTGGGGAGCAGAACAGGCTGACCGACGAAGAACACTGCTGAGGGGAGCAGCGGGCGGGTCAGGAGAGGTCTGCCACACCATGTGGTCTCCTCCCGGGCAGGCGGGGATCCAACTCATGCAGAAGTTGCTTAAGTTTCTTAGTGCTGTGCTTTAACCCACTGTGCCACCAGGGAGGGCCCTCTTTTTTTTTTTTTTTAAGATTTATTTATTTATGCATACAGAACTGGGGTACAGGCTAGAGGTGCAGGGGCGGTGAGAGGATTCACCAGAGTCAGAGTGGGGAACAGAACAGGCAGATTAATGAAGTGCACTGAAGTGCACTGCTGAGGGGAGCAGCAAGCTAGCAATGCAGGAGAGGTCTGCTGTGCCATGTGGATCACCCCTGGGGTCTGGATGGAACTGAAGTGGCTGCTGCTGCTAGCAGTGCTGCGTCCTAACCCTTTGCACCACCAGGGAGGGCCTGGTTTCTTTTTTTTTTTTTTTAAAGATTTATTTATTTATTCATATGGAACTGGGGTACAGGCCAGAGATGTGGAGGGTGAGAGGATTCACCAGAGACAGATTGGGGAGCAGAACTGGCAGATCGACGAAGTACACTGCTGAGGGGAGCAGCGGGCGGGTCAGGAGAGGTCTGCCACGCCATGTGGTCACCTCCAGGGCAGGTGGGAATCGAACTCATGCGGAAGTGGCTTTAGCTTCTCAGTGCTGTGCTTTAACCCACTGCGCCACCAGGGAGGGCCGGGCCTGGTTTCTTTTTAAGATTTATTTATTTATGCATACAGGAACTGGGGTACAGGCCAGAGATGTTGAGGTGGTGGTTTTGAGAGGATTCACCAGACACAGAGTAGTGGGCAGAACAGGTGATCAACTGAAATACACTGCTGAGGGGAAGCAGAGTAGGAGACAGGGGAGGTCTGCTGTGCCCTCTGGTGGGGGATCAAACTGCAGTGGCTGCCTAATCTCATTTGAATTAGCCCCTTTTGTAACTATTCACAAATTACTTACTTTTATTATTTCGCAGTATTTGCATCCTTAAGTTCTTATTCAGCTCTTTAAAAACTTTAATTTTATAACCAGGGGATAAAATGCTATTTTTGTGATTCCAGATATTATTTTTGTGAATATTTGTGAATAAGATGAACTGAAAAACAGTTCAGTTTTCTTGGGACCTATTTGGGGAAGGGAAAATTCCCTCTTTTTAGGGAATTTTTATGAATTCCCAAATACTAAATTTTTCTTTTGATACATTATAAATGGTAAAATCTGTTAATTATTTTTGCCCACGCCAGAGAATAGAATATCAGTGTTTTCTCTTTTTACATAGCCAGAAAATAACAGGTTAGATAAATTTTTGAAAGTGCAGGGAATTTTTTAGGCCTGGATATTAACTAAATACTGAGATTATTTAGGGGAAAAAATTACTAGGTGAAAAGCTATCAGTGCACTTAAGAAAATGTATTATTTAGGTGTTAATATCTGGGTTTATTTAAATGCTTTTATTAAAAATCACAACTAAAAGTTAGCCTATTGCTTCCTTGAGAAAGCTGATGCTGCGGCTTTATAAACCGACGTATCCGGTTACTCTGTGTTTGATTTGTTAGGTCTGGCTCAGTGTGCTGAACTCTGCTGGCAGCTGAGAGGGGAAGCCGGAAAAAGGCAGGTTCCTGGTGCAAAGATTGCTCTTCAGCATAATTTAGGCCTTGGAGGAGCTGCAGTTGTCACGCTGTACAAGATGGGTTTTCCTGAAGCCGCCAGGTAAGTGGCATCTTATTTTTTTCTGGCAGCAAATTCCTTCTGACTTTTTACAACTACACAACTAGTGACGGGGGTGGGGGTGCTAATTTTATTGTCTTAGTACTCAAAGAATGAGTATCTCGGTACATTGCTTTAAGACTTTTAAACTCACCATTAGCTTTTAAATTTAATCAGCCTTAGGAATATTTTGTTCAAAAGGGAGGCAGCTTAGTCAAATGAGAGTGTTGAACTAAAAACCGGAGCTGGCTGGGTACTTGTCTCAGCCCCTGCCAAACTGAGTGATTTTAATTTAGGCAAGTCACTTCTTGCTTTCCTTACCCACCATTTACTTTCTCCGCATAGCCTCCCAGGCTTCTGAGTTTGTTTGGAGAAAGTCACCAAATATACAGAATGGACTTCTGTAAATTTGTTTCTGAAACCAGCGAAGCTGTCACTGCAGCTCCAATTCTTTCTATTTCCCTTGTTGATTTTCTTCCTTTCTATCAAATAAGTGTCTGTGTGCTCAAGTCTCTGGGCAGTTTCTTTCCTAAATCTTAGATAGTACTTCAATTTCCTTTCTTTTTTCTCAGAGAAATGCTCTGCTTTCCCAGAGGAATAATAGCCCCTCTGCCTTCTAGACCCAACTTTCTTTCCCCTTTGCATCCTATTATTTCTAATCATTTTCTATAACTTTGTTCAAAGATATTATCCTTTGATATTCCTTTTTCAAAAAAAAATCTTTCCACCTTTGTCTTTGAGTTGGATCCTTTCCCACTATCAGCAAATATGTTCAGGTTTTTTCCCTGTTTAGAAGATCTGTTTTTCTTCTTGCTTTAATTGTTCTCTTTCATGGTGACTCTTATATCGAACCACTTTTGTTTTTCCATGCTGAAATACCTTAGTCTATTTTCTGACTTCACTAAGGTCAGATAAGGCCACCAATACTCTGATTATGAAATGTCCTTGTCTTTATTTTTCTTCCTTACTCTTTAACCCTTCTGTAGCTTTTAATATTAATTGGCATTCTTTTTTTCTCTTGAACTTCTTGGTAATTATTCATTTTTATTCATTTTTTCCCCATACTCTTGATTCCACAAAGGTATGAGACACGTTTCTTTTATAGAATCTATGATATGTTTTACAAGAACCTGAGTCTTTAACTTCTTGGAATATAATGTCTATAATAAAAATTCTTTTTTTTAAGGCCCATTCTCAGGAACCATCTCCCTTTAGATATACAAAACACTTTGTTCTTCTTGGAGCTGTCTCTAACTTGGTTTAGCTATAATATATTTAGCTTGTTTTTATTCTCTTTATGGTATAAAATCCTTGAAACCTAGGACCTATTCCTCCTACTCCTGAAAGGATCTTTCGCATAGTGAACAAATGTTTATTAAATCAAATAATAAAAATAGTGAATTTTAAGTTTTCTCCTTAATCAGTTCTCTGAAATGCCACTCAGTTTTATTTGGAGTTGGAAATTTTCATTAAAAACCAAACTATAAAGGACTGCCATAGTATAGTAGCTGTGTAATTTGCTGGGAATAGAAGCTTAATGCTTTTCAGCAAGAAATCCTACTTTAAACATGAAGTTATCATAGTTCTTTTATTTTCAGGAAGTGAAATTGTTCTTATTAACCAGTGTTGGTATTTCTGGGAATATGGAATATGAAAACATTTTGGTGATATATTTATGACTAATACAGAAAGAAGTTGGCTAAAAATATGAAAGATATTATTGATCCTTTTAGTGCTATCACTAAAAGGATTTATCAGTATATATCTCACTACAAAGGCCACAATTGGGAAAATAACTGTGGTACAAATTGTATTTTGGAAATAAGGTTGTAAGCAAAGTAATTTTAGATACCCACTGCACATAATCAGATGTCCTTATTTTTATTTATTTCTTTAAAAAAAGAGTTATTTTAGGGCCCTCCCTGGTGGCGCAGCGGGTTAAAGCACTGCACTGAGAAGCTAAGGCCACTTCCACATAAGTTCGATTCCCGCCTGCCCCGGAGGTGACCACATGGCGTGGCAGACCTCTCCTGACCCGCCCGCTGCTCCCCTCAGCAGTGTACTTCATAGATGTGCCTGTTCTGCTCCCCACTCTGTCTCTGGTGAAGCTTCTCGCTGCCCCTGAGCCTCTGGCCTGTACCCCAGTTCTGTATGTACAAATAAATAAATCTTTAAAAAAAAAAAAAGTTATTTTATTTTATTGGACATCCCTGGTGGTACAGGTGGTAAAGACACCAGCCACTGCAACATGGTTTAATCCCTTGCTAAGGAGCTAACTCATGGTCCAACAAACTCTCCTGTCTTGCTAGCTGTTCCCCTCAGCAGTGTATTTAAGTATATACACTGGGTGTGTATAAGAGGATTCACCAGAGACAGAATAGGGAGCAGAACAGGGAGATCTACTGAAATAACACTGCTAAGGGGAGCCATGAGCAAGACAAGAGTGGTCTGCTTAACTAATGGGTTAGCTCCTTGTTTGGGGGTTGAACCTATGCCTCAGTGGCTGATGATAGCTTGATAGTGCTGAGACTTAACCCCTTGAACCACCAAGGAGGCCCTGATCTAATGTCTTTATTACATTCCTACTCCTTCAACCAGCTCTGATTGAATAACTGCTGCATGCCTAGTCCCCTGATTATGTCCCTCTGAGTATGTGAGGAAAGCAGACAGTTTTTCAAAATGCTGTAGAAATCCAGAAGAAGAAATTATTGTGAAGAAATAGATTTGAACTGGGATGACCAAGATTGCCCAACAGAAGGGTAGAGGAAGGGCATGCCAGGCTTGTACATGGGTAAAGAGATTTGAAAATACAAAGAGGCTTGGTGAGTAGTTGTGCTTGGGGGTACAGGATATGTTATCTTACAAATGCCTGGCTAGAGGGCCCATCAATAGCATGTAGATAATAGGAGATGTGGCTGACAATAGATTGGATCATGGTTTTGAAACACTTCAGATGCTATGCTCAGAAGTTTGGAAATTATTCTATAGAATATGTTACTAAAAAATCATGTGATATTACATTTTAGATAGATCAACTTGGTGTTACTTTGAGTAAAATGGTGGAGAAACTAGAAGCCAAGAATATTCAGGAGGTCATTAGTACTGTGGAAAGGGATGTTCACTTGCATTTAATTAACATTTAAACTTTTATTTCCTTAAATCAGTTTTGACTTTGTATTATAGCAACCTATTTTACATAAGCAGGAAACTTACAATAATCTGAGAATAGATTCTGTACTCTGTTCAGTGAAACCCATTTTTAAAATCCAACTTGTTTTCCCTTCTTTCCATTTTTAATTAAGGTATAATTTGCATATAGTAAGGAATATCCTTTCTTGTGCAGTGTTCTTCAAATTGTTATAAACATGTATGATATAGTCATGTGACTACCACCATAATCAAGATACAGAATGGTTTTATCATCCCTTAAAATTCTGTGTATAGGCCTTCCCTGGTGGCGCAGCAGGTTAAAGCACAGCACTGAGAATCTAAAGCTACTTCCTCATGAGTTCGATTTCTCATGAGTTCGATTCCCGCCTGCCCCGGAGGTGACCACATGGCGCGGCAGACCGCTCCTGATCCGCCCGCTGCTCCCCTCAGCAGTGTACTTCGTCAATCTGCCTGTTCTGTTCCCCATTCTGTCTCTGGTGAAGCCTCTCACCGCCCCTGAGCCTCTGGCCTGCACCCCAGTTCTGTATGCACAAATAAATAAATCTTAAAAAAAAAAATTCCATGTATACTTTGGGTCAATCCTTATTGACACCCCTATTCTCTAGCCACTTGCAACCAGAAATCCAATCTGTTTGCTGCCCCTAATGAGTTTTCTGTTTTCCCCTCTCAAAAATACCATGTAAATGAATTAAAAAGGACTTTGAGTCTGCCTTATTTCACTAAATATAACTCATTTGAGGTTCTTTCATTTTATGGTGTATCAGTAATTTCTCCCCTTTTTATTGAATACATTATATTCAACATTGAACTTACTGAATATAGTATATTTTATTGAACATGTTATATTCATTATGTGCCTGTACCATAGTTTATCCATTCGTTGGTTGAGGCATATTTGAATCACTCTGGTTTTTTTAAAAAGTGAAATAATCTGAGTTGGCTTTAAAGTTTAATAGGTGAAAACCTTAAGCTATTTAGAAAGCTAGAGGTAAAAGATTCCACGTAATACTACAGTTGTATGAGTATTATAAACAAGGACTAGAAGAAACAATGTGGAACAGTAAATATGGACAACTTGGAGTAGTGGGACTGTAGGTGACTAGCTCTATTTCTAACTTTCTGTTTTAATTAGGATCCTTTATTTTGACATAATTTCAAATATGCAGAGAAAAATTACAAATTATATGTCAGTGTGAACTCTTAAGTTTGTACTTTATTTAAAGGGTTGCTATCTGGGGCCTCCTTGGTGGTGCATGGTGTTACATCTCAACACCATGAAGCAGTTGGCAGCCACTGCAGCACAAGTTTGATGCCCGGCCAGGGAGCTGACCCATATGGCACAGCCGACTTCTCCTGTCTTGCCCCCTGTGTTCCCCTCAGCAATGTACTTCAGTTAGTTCACTGCTTCCCACTCTCTCTGGTGAATCCTCTCATCCCCATTCCTCTCTATGCATGAATATACTCCAGCTCTTGTATGCCTAAATAAATAAATCTTTTAAAAAATAAAGGATTGCAGTCCATTAATATCATTTATCTTGATGTTCGAAATATCCTTGCTTTGGTCATTGGGAGTCCCTTTTAGCTGACTCTTATTGTCTCATGATTCCCTTTAGTATTTCATTTACTTTATAGCTCAAGAAGATGGCCTAAAAAGCATGGGACAGAAAACAAACCCCTGAAACCTGACTGCAGAACTGGTGCTACCAGAGGGAGAGGAGGAACCAGAGAGGGGAAGGAGCCCTTTGGTGTTTTGATGGTGGTGTGGTATATAACTTACCATTGAAGAGCTGTCTTAAAATAGACATGGTGTTGCAAACCAACATCACCTCGAT